AAACAGTGCAACACAAAAAAACCTCTGAGGTCCCTTCTTCAGTTCTTGTTCCCAGGGATACCCAGAGTATGCTGAAATTTTTAACTTGATTTCCTACAGAAACAAGATATATGTATGCAGTTTGTATATCTATCGGAGGATGTTTTGTGTGTCCAGAGCCCCTTCCTTTGCAAAATAGTCTTACAAATAATCCTACTGTTCAAATTCTACTGGAGAGGGAAGGGGAAGGCTATTGTCAGTTTTGGTTGACCTAAATTTGTCAACAAAACTTGACAGTGGTCTAGGGTACCAGCAAGTTTCATGGAAAAATAAACAAGACAAGTTGATATCTAATTGGGAAAACTGGTGCTGATGTACGTATTGTATTAGGTGGCAGAGAATCCAGATGGGAGGGAGACTATAAATGCATCATCTGCGAGGGGTTTGTTCAGTGCCTAAGAAGGTATGAGCTCCAGCCTTGATCAGCCTAAGGAAGTAGGTGAGTTAGCTTTATTAGCGCCTTTTGATCTTGGAGCTACTCTTCTGTAGCTCCAAGAACACCATGAATGGTTTTGGGGCACTCTGTGTGTGGTGCGAATCACAAGAGGATAAGTACTTAGTAGTTTTTAATTAATGAGTATGTGTTGATGGATTTCTTCTGCTGTGGAGGACTTTCAGTTCAGAAGTTTTTCCCCTTTCCGCATCACTGTGTAACAAAGATTTGCAGTTTCACACTGGAGCTGAAATCTGGCAGTGTATGACTGTCCCCCAATTGGTTTGGTGGAAGCATGTTGCCATATAGATCTGCAAGTCCTTTCAGTGAACTGAGAAACTGATTTGTTAAGCTACTTTCACAGCTACTGCAAGGAAAAGTATAAGTGGGCAAATCTTACCTGTAAAGGTGAGTTTTGCAATAAACAAAATGGCTGTAATTTTGATAGATGTATTAAAAGATGCTGCTTTAAAGCTGTAACAGAGGAGTGACAAGGGCGACCAAGGAATTTAACATGATGACTCTTATTAATGGAGTACACTCTAAATGCTGTTTATAGAATTAGAAATGCCTGGCAACATTTTTGTGTTGCGCTGACAAACTGCCATCATCAAGAATGCAGTCTTGTGTTGAAAACTTCAGTTACTTAGGGACAGATAAAATGATTATTCTGATCATATCCATTTTTTGTCTGGTGCTGACTTAATACCCTTGGTATGAATTTAATATGAGATTCTATGTGCTTTTCTGAGGAGTCAGCTGCCCCATTCTGGGGCTTTTGTGTCTTCCTGGAGGAAGAGAACTGTTTAAGGATTAGAAAGTGACTATCTCTAATAAATAGGTTATCTGAAATACTTGGAAGTATGAGAACCAAATTTCTGTATTAATTCCAAAATGGGGTATTCTGTCCCAATGCACTCGCACATACAAAAAAAGTGTTTCCTGAGAATCCAGTTGTGTGTTTCAGACTCTTAAAGATGAAAATGTGCACCAAGTCTACTTTATTTGTATATTATTGGTCTTAGACAAGCATAATTACTTCCTGTGTTCTTTAACTTCCAGTATTCTCCCTGTGGCCACTGGAAAATTTTAAGTGTCATTTTCTTTTACTTTTCATTTGCTTTTTACTCCTCATATTTAAAATGATAGATTATGCCAGGTGAAAAGATAGCAATATGTTTTCTTTCAAATGAGGTTTCTCTTTCTGAATGTACTAGCCACTGTGGAAGCCTGCTAGTGGTACACCTGGTGAGATATCTCTCACAAAGGCTAGGAGGAAAAAATGTAAGTTTTAACTATCAGCCAGGACAAAGCGGCAGTTGTAGAGAGAAGCTACATGGTTTGAATTTGGAATGTGATTCCTAACTAGCATGCTTTATCAGTGCTTTTAAAAAATTATTTATTTAAGCAAATGATCTAAAGATATTAAGAAATGCATTCTTCAAACAAATACTGTTTTCTTGATAATGGAAAGAAGGCAGAATTAATCTTTGGTTGGTTAAATTAATGTGTGAGGCCTGTAGGAACCTGACAACAGTGTTTGTCATGGATGTTGTCTTTCACTGAGGTTGGTGGGAATTCTAAAGTTCACTTGAAATTGAGCTGAAAGGCCACTGAACTGTTAGTACCAGTGCCTGTTCCTGTGAGCTGGGCCTAGGTGATTAAGGTTGTGTTAAAAACGGATAGTTACTTACAATCTGGCAAAATGAGTGCCTTGTGCTGTCAGTAAAAGGTGAATTTCTGCTATATAAGGAAAATGCAATTAAAAATTCAAGAAAAAAAAAAAGAGACACTGGGTGGGAAGCTTGCATTTGCTGTCTGTCACCTTGGTCCTTAAAACTCCGGCTGTGTGGTGGGCAGGGGGGTGCTGACGTAGGGGGTTTCTGGCTAGGCAGAGAAATTAAAAAAACACCCCTGTAGTTTTAGAGGAAAATGTGTATGGCACTTTTTCGCCAGGTTAAGAAGCATGCATTTCAACAATTCCAGTGTGAGAAACTAAACTGTAAACTATAGATTTTTCGTTTAAAGGTTGAAGCATATATTGAGTAGGTGTGATTCTTTCAAGTCTGCATTTAGGACAAGGAGATGTTCTGAGCAGAAAGTTGAAATTGAAGGCTGTAGACTTGTGTCTCAGGAACTGAACAGGTCATGCTAGTTTTTGCTGTGAATAAGACTCGTGACCAAAATGTTGACTCTTCAAGAGCATTTGGGAAAAATAGTCTTTAAATTTCTACTGGACTTTAATGGTTCTCTTTGTCATCGTGTGGGTTATGTGGTGTCTAAGAAGCTAAACAGGAGATCTTTATAGACCAGTCCTTCACTGAATACCTACATTGTTTTTGAGACTAAATGTTTTCCTCCTCCACTTCTTACTTTATTGTGAGTCTGCCCTTTGTCAGATACATGCAGACATCCAGTGCTTTAGTTGTGGTAGTTTCCTGCTATTGTAATAAATAAATAAGTAGTTGTAGCTTAGCCTGGAAGTGGGTGCGAGACTGTAAGTTGTGACCTGTCTTTGCACTGTTAAACCTCAGAAGAACTGAGACAGTAGCTCTTGCTATCCACGATACAAAGCATGTGAGAAGGTACCCTGTACCATTTCAGGAGCTGCAGAGCAGGGAGAAAACATATGAAGTAATACTTGCTTTGCAAAAAATTATTAGCATGGAATAGGAGACGGTTGTTACAGCAAAGATCTTGAAAGATGTTTAACACACCACCAGTTAAGTTAGAGCCGTGTGCTTTGTTTCTCAAAAGATTATGAACTGAAATAATTCTATTCTAGATGCATCTAGGAATGAAATAAACTGGCATAGACAGGAAAAATTTACCTCCTTCATGGTGTATGAGGTTTTGTACTTGGTAGTTACTGAACTTGGGATCTCATTGTCTGTTTTCCTATCCTTGGCAGTATTACAGGGGCATATTTCCACATGAATGAAGTGTTCCTGAATAATTTGTCTGACTATGCTGGGAACAAACAGGCTTTTCTTCCATGTCTGGCATGAGTGTTTTCTTCAGCCAACTTCTTACTGAAAGAAAGTTCCTGTGTTGCATTTGTATTTGGCTCTTGCTGAGCATGTATGATCATATTTTGGGAAGTTTTGGGAGTAGTAGAACATCCTATTATATCGACAGTCTTGGGGGTGTGTGGAGAACAACAATTTGGGGGGTTTTGGTGGTCTTACTGAGGGATCAGTTGATTAAAAAGTCTTCCTCCCACTAGTGATTAAAATGACATTTATTTTTCTACAAAAGCTGTTTTTACAGTAGTTCTTCATGTTTGTGTTCATGTGCTGATAGTTACAAGCATGGATCAGTATTAATTAATAGTAAATGTGTGAATATAGGTAAGCTAGATAAACTACACTCAGTTTTAAAAGCTATCAAAACTGAGTTGTTACCTTTAAGTAGGAGTTTGATGTGTAGGATGATGCTAACGCACATCCAAGTAAAAGAATTGTTGATTAAGATAGATTAATTGCATGAAGGCTACAATGAAGAATGTAGCTAGCTGCAGTAGGAAAATAATGGTATGCAACACTAGAAGAGTTTTTTCTAAGGAGGCATTGTTTTGTTCTCAAAATCCAGGTTTCTGTTTGTCCCTTTTCTTTTTGTCTCAGGTGCAATTAATAGTCCGTTTCTCTGAAGAGGAGGAAAATACTGGTTTGAAACCTTTTATGAAAAGCTTTCTGTGTGGTGTTACGTATACTTTTCAGATTACTGGAAAATTAAATTCAGTGAATGAGGCATGGGAATTTTTTTTTAAAATAACTTTTTAGCTGTGTACAAGATGCTATTTGTACTGATTAAAGACAAAGGAGATTTGTCTTTCTTCTGGTGTGGTTGAGAAATTAGATTGAAAAATAGCTTTACTGATGTGGCTTAGAACAGATGTGGAAGGTGGGAGGGAGAGCTGATTCCAAAGAGGTATCAAATAATATCTGATTATGTAATATTTTCTCATATGTTTAGGCAAATCATTTTAACTATGAAATAGTTCATCTCAACAAGACTACTCACAGAAATTATGCTGATAGTAACTACTATTATGGGAAACTTCCAAAATGAGTTTACTTATTATCTATGACTATTCAGTGTGCAGGTTTCCAAACTGTCAGTCCTATTGCTTATCTTTTTGGCTTTGGTGGAATGAAAATATGGGCTATCCAGAGTGACTGGGTATTATAAGGTTTAGTGTTTAATTTTTAAAGTCCTCATGGAAGAGAGCATGTTCCACTGTTCCACATAAACGTTTTATTGTAGGGTTTCTTGTGCCACACTAGTGAAATATCGGGGGCAAAGGGAAATTAGACTGCACTGATTCGATCCTGTGTAACACTGCTAGTTTCTAAGTACCTTAAATGACCCATTAGTAACCAAGTTATTTGAGATGATTCTTGAAAAGCATCACTCATAGCTGGATTCTTGCTTGGGCTGAAGAACAGTAGAAAAGGGAAATCTAAAGCTATTCTGCGAGATGTAAATTTGTGATGGCATGGTGATAACAGATTTTCCTTTTAATAGGTTCTGGAAAACATAAGAACACCAATGAATGGCTTGATCTTTGCTCTCAGCTCCAGATGACTTATCCCATTGTTTGTAAGGGTATGTATACTTCCATGGTGAAAGTGTTGGCAAAATCTGGAATGATTTTAAAAACACGTCCTTGTAGCTTTTTGTTTTATTCACTTTGGCAGCCATACTTAGAGACTCTAACCCAAGGGAATCCCTAGCTTAGTGGTTTATTCTTGATCTAGCATTGCTTTACAGCCATGATAAGATGCAATGTCAAGTATCTCCTTGCTCCTTTGAGGAGATGGTGTGTCAATGCAGCCAAAGGCCTTGGCCCTCTGAGACATGCCACTCAATGTCTGGCTTACAAGCTTCATAGTTTTGCCTATTATTGTACCTTTCAAGATCATCTCATGCAGTCTGCTGAGGAGCAAGATTTCACTGCAATGTCTTCCTGCAGACCTGCAT